AAAGATGAATACCACTGAAATATGGCCCAGATATTTGTAATGATTATATTCAAGAATTTACATGCACCTTTAATTCATAATAATTATTCAGAATTTTAAATAACAATAACACAAAAACTTTGGTACTTATATCTATCACTGCATAAGTGAACTACACAATAAAAAGATATTACAAGTGTTCATGCAGTTAATTGGTATAATCTGTACTGTCAATACTAATCACTCAAGATCTCCAGCCTCTGACATTATACTACTGAGTGATACCACTGTGCTGTATTTTTTGTAAACTTCTGTTTAGGCTGGTATATTAATTTATTAACTATTTATTCTGCTAATAATTATTTATTTATCCATTTAGTAGTTAAGCTTACTCCGAGGCTTGGTATTATTCACTAGCTTATTCTCACTAACATCATTGCTATAAAGATTATTAAAATTTTTACTACATAATATTAACAAAAACTACTTTTGGGATCAGTTCCAGTATTATTATTATTTATGTTGATTTATTTTGCATTAGATTCAGTTAATTATCATTATTATTATCATCATTACTACCGTTTTAATTTTGATTGTATTTTTACTTTTTCTTATTAGTTTTTTTGTTTCTTTTTCTTTCTTTTCTCATCTTTTTTCTTTTTCTTTCTGGCTGGCCATGTTTCCTTGGTCAGGCCTTTGGTGTTTCTTTTTATCTAGCCTCTTAACTCTATTCTCATTGCCGGTCACTGTCAAGTTTAAATAAATAAATTAATACATAAATTGCTGATGCATGAATATAACAATTGATTATTATAGTCTACTAGATATAATATTATTATTAGTTTTAAACAAGTGTAAAATTAATTCAAGTTGATATTACAGACTTTATCAATAAGGCTGTGTCTACAGCTCCGGTAACCGGACGTAGTTTGCAATGCTAGAGCTCCGGCAGTCCGTTTTTCTCCGTAAAACAGCTTGTGCGCATGCGCAATAGTGCAAAATGAAACTTAGTCTTTTTATCAAGAAACACTAAACCCTAACCCCAAAACCCTACGATCCCGGAGGCTAAGATGTACGAGAGGGTGCTCTAAAAACTAAACACTAAACCCCAATCCCAACCCTACGACCCCGGAGGCTAAGATGTACGAGAGGGTGCTCTAAAAACTAAACACTAAACCCCAATCCCAACCCTACGACCCC